AGGAAGGAAGGAAGGAAGGAAGGAAGGAAGGAAGGAAGGAAGGAAGGAAAGAAAGAAAGAAAAGAAAGAAAATCCTACTACCAACGTCCTACAATTGGCATTATTTTTTAGAGTAACCTGATGTTCAACAGCAAAATTTAAGTAACAAATTAAAAGTTAATGATGAAAAGAGGTAAAGAGCTGGTTTGTAAAGGCAAAGACTAAACAGTTAATATCAACAAATCTCTTCTGGAGACAGAAGGATCTCAGATGCACACACAGTCTCTCTGTCTTGTCTCTCTATGTGTTTATCTTTCTGTCTCTGTCTCTCTTGTCTCTCTGTGTGTTTATCTTTCTTTGTCTCTGTCTTTCTGCCTCTGTCTCTCTCTTTCTCTCTAACACACACACACACACACACACACACACATTCACTCACACATACAACCACTATCACCAAGGAGTACAAATTAAATAAAACTAAATAGAATCAATTAAAATCTAACGCCACAGCAATCTATATAACCTGATTCACAAATGATCCAAAGTTTTACAGGCTCCCACTATACCTAAGGCTTGGTTGTGCATGATCACCTGTGTATCACAGCTTCCCTCTAAAAGCTAATTCCTTGAACCTGGAGATGAGAGAAGTTCAAGACAACACAATGAAACCTTTTTGCTCTTCGTGAAGTAAATTGTGAGGTCTGGATTAAAGCAAACTCTTTGACAGAAAAGGATTTGAAAATGTAACTAACTCTTGGAAAATGCATACACAAATCTTGGGCATATTTTATTCCAAATAAACTTTTGTAATCTTTTCTGCCTAATTATTTATGGAAGTTATGATTGCTGAAGGATGATCCAGGACAATTTATTTTAATTGGTTGTCTAATAAGAGAACTTACAGCCAGACTCTAAAGGCTGGGCAAGTTCTTCCACCTATAATCAAGCTCTATAACTGAGGCAGCGTCCAGCTGGACACTCCCTTGGTGCATCCTGTGAAGACAGCATTAAACTGGTTATTCAGAGCAAGCCTCAAGGGGAGGGTGTCTGTGCAAGAGTGTACGTGTTATTTGTGTGTGAGTACACATATGTCATCACATAACAGATATGCTGTGTTTGTTCATATGCTAGAAGCTTCTTCAAAGATAGCATTTATTTTTCAGAAATTAGAGAAAATTCATTGAAGTGCTAAAATGTTATTTATCAAAATATATATATATTTATGAAGAGATACTTTAAAACTAAAGGAACATGTGCAGGCTGGTTGAAAAAGCTTCTCTCTCTCTCTCTCTCTCTCTCTCTCTCTCTCTCTCTCTCTCTCTCTCTCTCTCTGTCTCTGATAGATTCCTTGTAACAGAGATGAAAGTGACTTCACGAAACTAAGTGTGAACATTTACAGAGACATAGTGATTTATAAATTCTTGCAGACCT